GGGGTAATTTGCTGTGCACCAAAGTGCGCGTAGCACAGGCGTTCCCTGGAGACGAGTAGCAGCGGCACAAGGTGCACCACTGCTACTTGTCCCCAGGGAACCAAACATCAATGCTCATCTGGACACAGTGCGTCGTTTTGCCAGTCTGTGCTGCATCCATACTAGGACAGCATTGCTGGCATACTATACTGCTGTGGCTCTATCACCAAAGTCTTCAGGTCTCGTTTGGGCCGTAGGTCTTAAGCACAGCCCAGGTTACAGGAATGAAAGGGAAGGAGATGCTGGGGCTATCCAATTTCCTATTCCCTGCTAAAAGCAATTTTGAACTCCCTTTCCTAGTCTTCCAGTAGCCTTCTACCTTATCTGCCTCTTTTCCTGGGCTACTTTAGCTGCTAATAGCTAACTTTTTTTGGCTCCATTTCGCCCACTTGCTTGACTTTTCTCCCTCCATAAATATTTAGCAACTCTTTTGCAGAGCTAGGATTTAACTTGTATCTACCATAGAAATTCTGGTTACTTTGACTTTTATTATTTTTATTTCAATAAAAAGTGACAGACTCCTTCAATTTCAAGGTTGTTTGCATTCAAAAATATAAAGTTACTATTGCATTCAATTCTTGTGAAGACTCATGACAGCAATAATACTGTTGGCTTGTTTTTTTTAATGAGAAGTAAGCTCATAGACATATCGCATTTTAGTAAGAGCTGATTTAATGCAATTAAAGAATAGAAAACAGTAAACTGAAAACAAAAGGGCTAAAACAGTAAAATAAAGCTTAGAAAACTTTAGAAGATGGAAGGAGAGAAGACTTGCATGAAGCAATTAGAATAAATGCAATATTATTTTTGATGTGCAGTGTATGAAGTACTATGTGATGCTATTTTCTGGTCATTGCTTGGGTCAGAATTCAGAAAGAAGGTTAAAATGGAAGGAAAACGAGATAAATGATACTTGCACTAGTGCAAACAAATTTGCAGTTTCATGTTTATGGGAACCGGTGAAGAATTACAGTATCTGAACAGCTGAAATACTTTAACAAAATGACACAAGTATGTTTGCAATACTAGTACAGCGACTGAGACTATGTGGGAGAAGGGTGGAGGAAGCTGGTCCTTTTGGCACGTTTTTGAAGTGCAGACACCAGGTTTAATTGGCTCTGCGCTAGTGATGATGACTGTTACGTGTGGGGACCACTGAAATTTCAATTGTGTTTTTTGCAGAAAACGCAAAATTGGGCAGGCTCTGCAAAAAATGGCAGGCTTAAAATAAAAATTATCAGCCAGCATAGCAAAGGGTGGGAAGCCCTGCAATCTTGGAGCATGGGGAGGAGAGGAAGAAGAAGGGTTGCTCGCAGCAAGAGGTGGGGAGGCTGCAAGCAGCTGTACAGGGCTCCATGGAGCTCCAGCCCAGTTCGTTGCATGTGTGCACCCACCACCAGCAATAAACTGAGCACAGACCTCAGTGCAGCCACTTGCAGCCTTCCCCAAGGCTCTGGACTCTGGGCAGACCCCTGCCATTAGCCACAGAGCCCAGGCCAATTGTGGCCAGCAGCTACACCAGGGTCCACAGAGTCCTGGCCCAGCTCATTGCCAGCAGTGCGTGCCTCAGGGCAGACAGCGGAGAAGGCACTGGGGCAGGGGCTGTGCTGCACCTGCCATCGGCAACAAACCAGGTCGGGACTCTAGTGCAGCCACTTGCAGCCTCCTGGCTGCCTGCCACAGCCAGCCTAGGACCCTGGTGCAGCTGGTTGCAGCCTCGACTTGGGGATGG